GTTGGGGAAACTAATTATCAAGGAGTAGCGAAGAATAAATCAATGATCTCATCACTTCAAGGGACTCGTTAACTGACGATAGCCTGCAACTCGACCAGAAATGCCAACAACAATAGGCACAGAAGTGACGATGGTCACCAATCCTTCCAAAAAGCGGAAGTGTGAACTGCAATGAAGCCACTGAAGACCAGTCGGAAAGGCATCGTGGGCAAGAGGGAATTCCTTCTCTATCCCTGTAAGCGGACATAGGGACAACAGCAGTTATATGTGACCAGTGTCACAAAAAAGGGAAAAAAGGAAAGCCAAACGCCGATTGTTTGTAAAAATAAAAAAGAATAGAGACTTGCCTATAAGTAACAATTGACGTCAAGTAGTTCTGAAGATAATGGCAGGGAATAAAATGAAAGCAGGCGGCACTAGGAATCTTAGGAGTCAAGAAAAGCTGACAGAATCAATCAGATATTGATTGTCTAATTATGGTTTGAATTTCCGTTGATGCGAATACGACGTACATATATATGTGTATATAAATAATCTGCATTTCGAATAATTAGGTTGTTGTCATGGTCGTTGTAGTTAAATCTGACTTCTGTGAGTGCCTCAGTGTGAGGGAATATTTCCAAGCGATCATTTAGCTGTAGTGTCAAGACTGAAGGCTCATTCTGGTCAAAATATAAGGCAATCATTTAATAGCTCTCTGTTTTCACAGAAATATTTTCGTTTCAACTGACTGCTTAATGACGTTTATTTTATCCTGGCTACTGTTTTTGTAATTCATTTTATAATTTAATTGCTGATTTACGCATTATTGTATAGCGGAACATATAATGTAAATTTTCTCCTCTCCATCAAAGTAATAAATAATAACTTCTTCGACGTTGTTGTCTGTTAAGAATTTTCCTAACTTCTTAACCGGCTCGAAATATTTATCAGTCTTATTCAACAGCTAAATGCCAATGACACTTTAAGTGTGATCTGCGTATTTTGCGCCCATCGAAGTCTTTGAAGTAAATACGGAATTAAGACAAGGGTGCCTACTGTCACCCATGATATTGCTAATTTTTGGCGGACTCGATTATACCGCATACGTTCTTGGAGAGAGAGAGTACAGACATACGTTTTACTGACAAAAAAACCCTAGAAGATCTGGATTTCGCGGATTATCTATGTCTGGTGCCGCATAAACTTAAAGATCTATCGGCGAAAACCAATAATTTGACACAAAAGAGAGACAGCAAAGACAGGGCTTCAGGTAAAGATATAGAAGACCGAGGTGAGGAAGGTAAAAAGACATCAATAACAAACAGCAGCTATCACAATTAACTGAAGAAATTTGAAACTTTATTGCCTTCACTTATCTACTCATTACTGTTTCAATTTCTGGCAGTGTTGATGAAGATGGCAAAAACAGAGCTGGAAAGGAGAGTCAGACATTTATCACTTTGAAATTAGCATGGCAACCCATTGTACTCAGTGTAAGTCAGTCAATTCTACCATATGGTTCAGAAACGTGGCGTACGCGTCATAAAAGGCATCTCCATCAGCCTACTGCAGACTTTTATCAACGGCTGTCTTAGCTCCATATTGAGGATTAGATAGCTAGCTATAAATGATAAGCAACAAGAAACTCTGAGAACGAACATAACAAGGACCTAATTATCAGCAAGCATGTAGAAGAGAATGGGGATGGACTGGATACTCGCTGAGGAGCCCGTTGATGAAGCCACACGCCAAACAATCTTTCAGGCAAAATCCAAATAGAAAATAACGAGTTGGGCATCCGAGGGTCGCATGAAGGAGATTGTGTTAGGAGGCGATTAGAGCCTGTGTGTAATCTTGGTGATAGCTAAAGAGGAATGCAGAGAATAGGACGAGGTGGAGATTTGCTGCTGAAGCTCTATGTTCCACTCGGAACCCAAGGGAAAAAAATAACCCAGTGGCTCTTGTCATCACAAGTGACTTTCACTCATACGTGCGTCAATTTGCCCTGTGACCAGCAGCTATCCCTGTGATGGAAAACGTAAGTGAAATAATCTGGATTTTTGGAGGGGTGGGTCACACAGAGTCAATGTCCATCTACAGTGGCAACCGACCATTTGAATCTGTAACCTTCGACAAGCTTTCGGAACTACTTGGATGCAAACGCGCCCGAGCCATGGCACGCCACCCATCTGCTAATGGCCTAATTGCCCTTCTTCATCTATACCTTAAAGAATCTCTCGTGCTCATCGGCAAAATCCAACGGAGGGATTCCCATACTCGGCATATGTTTCACACCTGGAATAGGTATTCACTGAGTCTCGGCAGAAGTTATTTAGGAAGACGAATCGCGTTTACATGGTCTACTGATTCATTTGGAACCGACCGCTTCTGATATTCACAGTTGTTCTCAGCATCCGAGAGAATTTCTGCGTGAAATAAAGCGGGTAAAGAGAGTGGAAACGTGCTTTCAGACAAGAACGGCACAAAATCTTGTGCGTTGTGATACAGTTAGTAAGTACCGTAAAGCCCCCATGGGATGGACATTTGGAGGCTGAGGGTGTTGACTTTCACGGATAGTATGGTGTATACTAACGCAAGAACTCATACCCACAATTCCTATAATATCCGTTCGTAGATCAAAGAAGAATCAAAACAACAAACTGATAGTCCAAAATACGAAATATATTTCGGGATCAAAGCCATAGTGCTAGGATGACTGCTTAACTAGCCAGGGGTCGTACACGAATGTAACACGACAGCGTGATGAATGGGTGGATGTTTGACCATGAGCCATCAGATAAACAAGTTGACTTAAACAGTGAGTGTCATCATCCAACGTTCAGTGGTGAATGTTGTGAATTATATACCGCTACGGTTATTTAATAATCATCAGCACGAAAGTGGAATATTTCATAATTGACCGAATGGGACGCCTGCAGCCTTAAAGCAATTTATACTGAGGAGGAACCACTGCCCTATGCCTAATCAATATTAGGAGGGCCCTGGGTGCCAAGTCTGGAACCAGAATTGTTAGCAGATAAAGCTCTTAAACACTCTGATGTCACAATGGCTTGCAATGGTAACGCATTCCACATGCACTGACCGCCGTAGATGTCATGAATTAAGATCGTTTGAATTTTCATGTAACCACCACATTTCTCAAGTAATAAATCCCACATTTTTACTCCCTGTTTCCTGTTCGTCCTACATGTATTAAATAAATAATTCAATGTAAATATGAAGAAGCTAAATTACTGAAAATCTTATAAAAACAGAATACATTTTAATTGCTTAGCTTATTTTTCGCGTCTTTTGGTAGGTGTCTACGTCTGGAATTCTTTTCTCTAGCTATCATTCGTTGTTTCCCTACTGCAGCGACAGTAAAATTTCAAGAGCCGGATACATCCTCTCTGGACTATTCTTCTGTTACAGATACACTAATTCTCCTTTCGCATATTCTCCTCCAGAAATACTTATCCTCGGGAAGATGTGGAGGGAGGCTCTGATAAGTTTTGCGTCTGGAAGCGAAGTTTCTTTTCGGTAAAAGCGTGCATAGCTATATTAATTTGGAGCCATCTAGCAATATAAACCATCTTCATTGTCGAAATTTGCTGAGTATCCGCTTCACTATTTAATTTCGGATTCGAAATTACCGATATACCACCAACTTTTTGTGGAGGTCACCTTAAAGAGCATCATCTACAGCATCAATATTAATATAAGACTGGAATGAATAGGTCTAGTTGAATCAACTTAATACCAGCCAAATAAGCACCAAGCCCGCTTGCAGATTCTTCATGCGTTCTGAGTTCTGTTCAATGGGTACGCACCTGACAGGGCTCTGACGCCAGTTAGCAACCACATTTGCACTAGCTTATTTTACCGGTGTCAGTTTGTTCAACCATCCACTCAGTTCTTCTCTCCTCATTTCACAAATCTACCCACTTATCTGAATTCGTCTCATCTAATTCCACTCTTTTGCCGAACATTGACTACTCACACCTCTCCCGCACCATTATGCAGCTCTGACCGCATATGCGTAACGCCGTCAGAACTCAAACAAAGGCCCTTTAAGTTTCACAGGGTGTCCGTATAATTTCGAGTAGTCCGGCTAGCAGATCACATAAAAATGGGATAACCTTTTTAGAACGAATAGGTGACCATTAAAAAGGACTAAACTGGGGACTGAAAATGAACAATTGATGTGGGATGTGTTAGTGTGGCTTTACATCATGCTCGCACAATTGTATAGGCTGTTCAAGTATTGCCAGTACCTCCATTCGGAAGATCAGATGACCTACTCGCCAGAAAGAACTAGCAACAAGAATCTCTGGCTGGGAAGAAGTCAACCAAGAGCCGACCCCTCAAAAAATATGAATAAGAAAATGGAGATTAATCGGGCATATTTTAAGGAGGCTATCGAATGACATGTCGCGCAATGCAGACTATTGCTCGGTTGGAGTCCCAGTTGATAGCGACGAGTAGGTCGTCATCTCGAAAGTGACATGGAAGAGATCGTGTGGTGAGGAGATGCGAGAATATGAGCAACCGTGGACCCAGCTGAAGAGGACTGCAGAAAACAGAACGAAGTTGTGGTGTGTTGTTGAAGTCCTATGTTCCACTAGGAACCCAAGGGAATAATAGTTATAATAATAATAAACGATGAGTTGTAGGCCCTCTTCAGGTTCTTATGTGGTCATTCTGTCATTCCGTAGACTTGGAAAACTGATTAAGGCGTGAAATAGAGCCGCACTTTTGCATACTTTTAAGGGTAAAGGTCAGCGATTTGCGGTGATTTATAGGCAGGTAGCTTTACTCCCGGTTGTGTTAGGGGTGTGAAAATACCTTGACAGGAAGAATAAATTCTATGATGCCTAATATGGTTTCAGAGGAAGTAATTAATGTGCAATGAAGGCATTTGGCTCTTTTCAGAGGGGTCCTCTCTTCGAAATCAGACCGGGTGTCTAATGGTGCTCCCCACAACTGATGTTACGGTTTTAATACATTTCATGAGTGTTGAAGGAAACTACACAAAAGCTCGCTGAACACTAAGACCCGTTATCTCAGTGGTAAGACGTCGGCTCAATCGAGGAAATCAGTTTGGGAGTATTGAATGAAGGGAGGGTAGTTCGGCAGGTACGCCACATTTTGTAGCATCGGAAAAATGCCTGTACTTGAGTCAATGATGCTTGGGGAGAAGACGGCTGTTGTTTTTGACATAGGTTCTGTGTACACAAAGTGAGTGTCTTTTAATGTCATACAAGTACTCCAGGTGCGGTTTCGCTGGTGAAACAGGACCCAGGTTTATAATTCCTACTGAAATTACTTTGGTTTGTCTAAATTATGTAGTTTACTTACATTCTCAGCCCTCGGGTGTTAAACAAAGTCTCGTTAACATTACGAAAAAAGATGAGAAAAAGCAGTTCCTGACAACATTTCTTTACAATATGTACTATCGGTATGCAGTCGTATAAAATGAGTTCTTCAGACAGAGGATAGACACTTATTAGTGAATCCAAAGGACCGTCGAGTTGTTGTAGTTGAAAGTGTACTCTGTCCATCATCATCCCGTGAACTGTTGGCGGATATCTTATTCAATCATTTTGAGGTAATCTTATGATCTATACATATACATGTTTCTCTGTAGGCGCCTTCTGTGCTTTTCGCTGCTTCACATTTAATGGCTTTGTTCACTCTAGGAATTTCTTCTGCTGTTGTTCTGGACTGTGGTTATTTAGATGCGCAAGTCATACCTGTAATTTGCAGCTTACTATTGATACCATTCGTAGGTCTATGAAGGCTACACATTATTGAATACCTGGCAGTCTGCACAACTTGGTGCTAAAAGAATCCATGAGTATTGTGTGTTTAAAATAAGTTAATGCTTTTGAACCTTTAGAGACATAAAGTGTTACTTAATTGAGAATGCTAAGTTAGTCGATGTCATTAATGGAGAGTCGCATTTTTCTCGGTGTCCAGATTCTTTTGTGTCAGAACATACTATCGAAGATATAAAAGGTATTATGTTGTTAATATTAATCGTTCTCAGTCCGCACATGTTTTGTTAGCCCACAAAGTAGGGCAATACAATGGAAGGCTTGGCGGGATGCAGTTGAACCCTCTGTCAAGAAACCTGCTTCACATCAAGAAACATTTCTTTTCCCTCTAGATAGATTAGGTGACGAAAGGCCCATCCAGATTCCATCAGAAATCCGAGAGTTGGCAGTCGAATGTTTGTTTTCTGGGGACAACGATCAAATCACAATCACCACACTAATTTTAAAATCCATTTTGTTGGCTCCTATCGACATAAGAAGGTATAGCACTTACGAATTTACTTTGTACTTAAAGCTGTTAAAAGCTGCACAATGTCTTCTATGGTTTCCGTACTCACAGTAAAACTTATTCAGGAGTTTAAGCCTAACCAAGAGTAAAATTCCAGTTTTAATGGTGTGCTTTTCACTTTTTTGCTTCTAATTCCTTTATAAAGAAATTTTAGGTGTATATCTGAGTTAAACTGTATTTTTTTTTCCTTCCTAGACATCACTGACTAAAAAGAAGCTGCTATCATCAGCTTTCTGTTGGAAATTTCCTGATTTTCCAGTGCATAATTTTGATTCCATCAGGAGTAATTACTTCAAAATCAAGCAAATAAGGATGTTCGTGTGCATGAATAGTTCCACCTACTTTAAGCAGCAGTTTTACTTGTGATATTGCTAGTCTTTGAAAATTTCCCTTGTAAGATTCCAAAAATCCTCATTAGTTTCCATGTAATCGTTCTGTCTGTCGTAAATCTTCCACTGTACTTCTTCCTTATAATTATGGGTTCTTTTGGGAAATGTGACAACCTATGCAAAGTCTTACTTTGGCATTTTAGTCAGCTTTTAGTAAGATAATTGACAAGAAACGGTATTTAGAACTAAATGTAATACAACCCAAAGTTTTGGAAGCTTTAGGGTTATTGCTTGTTTAATTGACTGTGTGCTTTGGTTTTGTCTTTGTCGGTATACTTGTCGATAAGCGTAGAACATGTTGCAAGCTCTTAAACTTGTTTTTGAATGAGATGTCAATTTAGTTTTTCCGTTTAAGTTATTCGAGGCCAGCATGTTAAGCTTCTCTTCCTGAGTAATTAAAGTATTTGGGAAGTTTTTTAGTTACATAGGAAAGTCTCATTATTGTGGTTATAATTAATAAATTGGGTGTCGTAAAAATGACAATGGTGTTACCCGACATAAGGTCAGAAATGTGGATGACTTTAATACCCTGCCAATGGCAGGTCCAATAAATCATACTTATGAATAGTGTATCACACTGACCTGTAAAAGTTGGTTTTAATTTACTTCATTGGTGCGTAAAGTAGTTTTCCAAATTTCTTGCTGCATTTTTTCTTTATCTTAAGTAGACGGCAATTGTTTTGTGTTATTTTAGTGAAATGTGTGTTACTTGTTGTTCAGTGCCTCTCAATGTTGTGTTTCTGTTTTTCTCTGCTTTGTAAATCACTCAAACAAAACTCTTTACTCTGCGACAGACATTTGGCAGAAAACATTATACTCATTGGCGGTACAGTCATGATCCCTGGTTTCCTACCCCGTCTTCAGGAGGAACTTAATTCACACCTGGATCTCCCTGAGTTCTCGAAACTACAAGCCTTAAAGGGGTCTTTTAAGTTTCATACACCACCTGGTGAGGCAAATTACATAGGATGGCTTGGTGGTAAGTCTTTATAAATTCTAATTGATTAAAAATTGATTACTTAGGCGGATCAAACTTAGGTAGTATGTGTGTGTGTATTAGATTAAGGAACTAAATATTCCGTGGCTGTTATTCAAACCTTTGGCTGTGCACTGTTTTGGTAATGCGCGAGCACCGGAGCCTTCGTCAAAATTATTTTGAATGTTTTTTTCCTACTTTTTAAGACAAGGAATTATCTTTAGTATCTTTTTCATAGTTTGAAATAATATTCGAGAACACCTAACATTTCATGGAAATCTTAATTTCTGAATAATATATGAGTTAATACTGATATTATTGTTAAATCATAAACTCGGTCCATTACGGGCATCAAGAGATGCTCCACACAATCTTTCATAGTTTGTGTGAGTGCTGGACGCCCGGAGTGAAGCAGGTGGTTACCTTAGGGAGCCACTCCCCGAGCTTTCGATATGAATTCTGATCCACAAGACAGTGGAGCAGCGTCAAAAGCTACCTTGCCATGTTTGGCAATGACCAAGACGGGTTCATACATCATTCTGGAGCCCATGTACACCATAGGCTTGGGATCAAGGTTTCACAGCTCCCGCTGGTAGACCCGTATGTTCACCAGTCCGGTTGTAAGCACCAGGCGTTCGTATTCGCCCTTTCACCTTTGTAAGGATCATCCTCGCTGTGTGAAGGCAGTGAATAGGACCTACCTAAAAAGAAGCTATGAACCGGTGGTCACATGAAAGCGGAGGAATATCAAAGTCTGCTCACCCTTGGCCGTTCCAAGTCGTTTGAGGGCACAGTGTTATCTGACTGCACGTTGTACAGTGGACAGTGAAATTATTGTGGATAATTCACTTCGGTTTACATACATTAGTTAGTCGCCTTAATTTATGTATTAGGTTACAGTAATCATTCAGTATATTTAGAATTCATTATGCTTTTTTTTCAATATATTTCTGTCTGATTAATATTTCTCTGTCTCTCTCTAGGTGCTATTTTCGGAGCATTAGAATGTCTACCGGGACGTTCATTAAGTCGGACAAGTTATTTAGAAAATGGTATAGTTCCTGATTGGTGCACTCAAATTGATCAAACACACAAAGATCTCGAAAGACAAGATACCACTCGTCAATGACATTAACACTGATAATATCGTCATTTATTCCTTTATATTTATTGTTCAATTAATTTTTTATTTTTGGTATATGTAAGCCTATGTTGACTTTTCTCCCTTCTTTGCAGTTGTCCTAAAATAGTTTTTATTTTGATAATTCAACTTATCAGTGAGCCATCACTTTTACCATTTTTTTTATTTATTTGCTTGAGTTGTTTTGCTATATTTTGTATATATTTTTTCAAGGGAATAATTATGTGGATTTAAGAGTTGGGAAATATGGAAATAGATCATTTTTGACAAATTTGATTTGTAGTTCATGTTTTTTTTAAATGTGGTGTTATGAAAATATTTGGTTTCGATATGCATTGTTGTGGATCCATGGAGCGTGTGAGTATATTTCTTTATTTAATATTGTTAATGGTGAGTGTAAGTCCCTGTCATTGAAGTACTTCATAGCTGTTCGGTCAAAGTTGTAGATGTTCCTACGTTATATCGGGTATGTAAATATTTTCTACAGGAACTCATGGGTATGTTGTCATACTGGATTTACTCTATTAAAAAAATACAAGTCGATACGCTTTCCAATGCACAACTTCTAGTGAACACTCTATTTAATCACTTTTATACGATTATTTAATTCAGTTTTAGATTTTCCCGTCAATTGTTGGACCGAAATGTTCGGTCTTTGGTTGACATGTCGGCCTCGACCGAAAGCTGCTACCTTGACGTGGTGGTCGGGCTTGAACACCGCAATGACCCAACAAGCTATACTGGCTGGAACTTATGTTCCTGCAGGTCTTACCATGCCAGAAAGGTTGTTTGGATAGCGGTTAGACTAAAAGCAGTTACACAATCCAATCCTATGACTTCAAATAAATCACAAAATATCATGCCGGATCGGTCGGGGCCCGGATTAACAACGACCGCGCTTTCTGCTGCCGTGTCACAGGGCAGAAGTGATAAATACGCTACTGAGACACACCAAATAAAAAAGAACAAACAAAAACAGGCCGTGTGTGACCGGCCTCAAGCAGTTGTCCCTTGGGTTCTGCGGTCACGCAACCAACTTCCACGGTGTGGGCAGCCGGGAAGTAACAATCGCCCTCACACTCCAAAGTGCACGCAAAACCTCTCTATTCCTCACTCATCTTTGTATCCATCTTCATCTCTATTATCTTACCTTCCTTCTACTAATGCAACTCCTCTACTTAATGGCCCTTCACTTCCTCTTCACTCTGTGTGCACTGATAACGATGGAAGCCAAAAAGCCACCATCGATAGTCTCCTAAAGCCACGCCACCAATTTCATATAGGGGCATTTAATGTTAGGACACTTTGCCAAATAGGACAACAGGCATCACTAGCCAAGACTCTGGCATCCCGAGCCATTGATGTATGTTGTGTTTCAGAAACACGCATACAGGACCCAAGTGTGGTTATTCACCTAACCCCACCTGGCCAACAGGATGAATCTGCAAAATTCACCTTGAGGGTGTCAGGAGATGAGACGGCTAGCTCACGAGGATTAGCTGGTGTTGGGATAGCTCTGAGTACTAGGGCAGAAAAGATATTACTTGACTGGATCCCGGTAGATAGCCGAATGTGTGCTGTCCGTCTGAACGGATCAGTGAAAAGGAGAAGGGACTGCACTAGTCGCCGATGCCTTTTCGTTATCTCCGCCTACGCCCCCACTGACTGCAGTTCGGATGAAACGAAGGATGAGTTCTATCAAAAGCTGTCTAGTTTGCTGCGAAAGGCTAAACGCTCAGATATAGTCGTTTTAGCTGGTGACTTTAATGCTCAAGTGGGGAAATTGTGTCAATCTGACATGTCGGCTACTTGTGCAGATGCGTCGACGATGTCTGGGCATGTAATTAGAAGTTAATTGGTGGATGGTAACTAGCAGTGGAATCCAGGATAACGCGCATTTTGTCCTATATGGGACTCGTCATCTGGATGTACCTGCGTTCCGCAGTGAGTGATGATGTTCCCAACGGGGCTCGAACCCAGTGCCCGTAGTTTCGACCGCCAAAGCGTTATCTGAACACTTCGGTCCAATCAATCGACGGGAAAATAATAATTAATATGACCGGCTGCACAAGAGAGGTGGTTCTCGTGGCCCAAGTGGTCTAGTGGATAACGCTTTGGCGTTTGAAACTATGGGCGCTGGGTTTCAGCCTCGGTGGGAACATCATCACTCACTGGGGAATGCAGGTGCATCCAGATGACGAATCCCAAATAGGACAAAATGCGCGTTATCCTGGATTCCACTGCTAGTCTTCATTGGCATAGTGTGATAACTTGCTATTGTGTTTAGTTGCTGAATTGAATACAACATTCCCTAGATTTTCCTTATTTACCTTATCTTCTTAAATGAAGGTTTAGCCTTACCAGATCACTATTCATTCAAATCATCACAGGTTTATGCCTAATTGTTTTATGAATGAGTGACAGAAGATTTTCTATTTACCATCACACGTGATACCCAACTGGGTATTTTTTCGATTCTAACCATAGGGGAGTGAATTAGAAAGAAGAATTAAGGCGGGTTACTAATTTTTAGTAGTGAGACAATGTGAGATAACTTTTAACCGTTAGATGACTCACCATGACTAAATCTGCATTGAAATTATCCCGAATCCATACGAAAATCATGACCTAAATATTAATTTCCAACTCATTGATGGCCACGTGGATGGATGGATAACCTGAAGGTGTACTGAGAAGTTGTCGGGTCCACCATGTCAAGGTGAAGTGGATGCATTGGTTGGTTGGTTGGTGATAACGTGACATCATGAATTGACAGCAGGTAGAATTCACGGGTCATTCAATTCTGGTTCAAATGGTTAAATGGTCAAGAAGTTTGGCCTTGTAACCTGAAGATCTTGTGTTCAGTCTCTAGGAGTGTTCATGGGCATACACAGATGAAGAATCGCAAACAAGGACGAAACAGCTGTCCAGTCTTCTTTGCCTTTCAATGATCTCTAAGTGTTGCTGATTCTTGACAAAATCCACCTTGAAATTGTTGTAATTGACTAAGGGGACTGTTAAATACCAACTGTGATTATTTCAGTCATAAAAGTTATAAGTCGGGAAAATTGAATATTTTTTGTGAAAGTCTCCTCATTGATATTTGATTGATTATTAGAATTATTGGGATCCTACTGAGTGCATTGATTGATCCTTTCTGAGGATATTACTACCTATCAATTACAAATATTACTCACTAGAAATGGATAACTTTCAGGATGTAAATGCTCAAACTTGTCTTGAATGCCTTAAATGTTAAATACTGTCTGAGAAATTCATATGCCTATAAAATGTGGATAGAAAAACCGGTAATTTAAGTGTTTACTTAACAAGAATTGATGCATACAGTGAAATAGCTATGTTACGTTGTCATCATTGTGACAGTTTACTAATTAAAACTGTTGAGCTTGCTCCATTGTCCCAGTCGGTTACTTTTTTTGTACCTGGGATATGTGGGTAAAAACGTGGACAGTTTTCCGTTCAAATTTGGGTAAAGTGGGAAAAAGTGGGCTATTTTCTAAACTGTTCGTTGAAAGAGTGGGCAAACGGGGAAAAAGTGGGTATATTTTGAATTTCTGCACATGGGATAAATGGGTAAAAACGTGGGTCACGTGGGAAAACCGGGAAAAAGTGGGTAAAATCGGTTGCATTTACACCATCTTTTGCCCACCTGTTTGCCGATCAAAATTACCCATTTATCCCACGTTTTGCCCACATCGCCCAGGTGCATTAATCGACTGGGGTCTTAATTGTATTCTGTATCATATTCCTCAGCGTCGGTGGTATAGCGGTTAGGACGCTCGCCGACCATGCACATGGTCCGGGGTTCGATCCCCGGCCGACGCACTCCTTTACCTCGCTGAGCCAGAAATAATGCTGGTGAAGAGGAAAGGTTGGGCATGAGGCTAGCAACCCCATCCTGTAAAATAAACACTGCTACAGAAACTTCAAGCCACTAGCTTGAAGCCCTATGTTCCACTGGGGAACGTGAAGGAAATATATATATATATATAATCATAATCATATTCCTCTTCTTATATAGTGGTGGTACCATCAGAAATAAAACTGGAGTGGATAAATGAATTAGTAAGATGCTTTTAAGTAATTCACGTATCAGCTTACCGGGATCTAAGAAACTGATTAGCTTCAAGCTGACATAACGTATGAATTCCTGTTATCTGTAATTAGAATATAGTAGATTGTCAAGTTTATTCCGTAACGTCAGTAAAGATAGACCTAAAAGTACTGGCGAAATCTGCACTTCAGCTGTTGTCTAGAAGGACATTGAAAGCTTCTCGATTCAACCATCTAGCTCAGAGGACACAATTACACTAGTATCATCCACCCGAGAGCTACAAATCCTCTCTTTGATATTTGAAGATTTTGACCTAAATGAACTATTGAATTATTTACATTATCAAACTTTTCAGTTTAAGTTAATTTTTATTTTTCGGTTGATTGAAACATTGGACTGATAACTTAGGTTTCCGTTAACATACCGGCTCCTAGAAGGGACGCTTCGACAATTTTTGAGGACTAATATTGATGTCTTTTGCTGAATGGATATCCTCCTTTGGCACTCGTCAGTAATCCTCAGTGAGTTATGCTGTTCCAACTGGGACTCGAACTGCAGTATTGTCAGTATATTATTCCTTTTGCTTTCGAGTGGAACATAGGGCTTCAATAGCATATCTCCATTTTGATCTGTTCTCTACAGGATGACGCGACTTAGTATTTTGCTTGGCTTGAACAGCGGCATGATTCCACGCCAGTTTTTGCAGACGACCAAGTCGCAATTCTTTTGCAGTTTGAAAAGGTAACCTTTCGTAGGATCAGTAGGTACATTCCCTTCCTTCCAAACCTCTCGGTTCGTTTTCGTCTCTTTAGGAGGGATTCCGTCTGCTCCTGACTGGTCTTGATTATCGTCATTGCATTCCAGACTTCTGCTTTTTTTGAAGGATTTGTGTCCACTGGCAGTTATCTACCCAGTGATAGTGGTGCTTCTTGAAGAGTTAAAGGTGATGGTCGGTTAAGGAGTGCTTTGAAGTGATGGGTCCATTGTTTTATTTGCCTCTCCTCTTTGATAATTGGTTTTTCATAACCATGTCGTATAGGTTTTTATCCGTGTGAGTCTCTTCCTGGATAGAGACCTAATTACCTGATATAATGCTCTCAGGTTGCTTTTACCTGAGTCCGGTTCTTTTTGAGTTGCTATTGTGTCTCAGAATTGTCTTTTGTCTTTTCTAGCACATT